CCGCCCGCCACCGCCACCCCTCCGCACCACCACCACCAACAACAACAACAACCCAGGCGCCCAGCGCAGCCGCCCCACCGCTTGGCGCTGAACTTCTTCTCGGTGTCCAGGTAAGCCACGCTGCCGCCATCCGCCTCCCGCTCCAGGCACCCCAGCACCGCCAGCTGCAGGCACAGCTGCGTCTTGCCCAGGCCCGCAGGGCCCACCACCTGCGGCGCGCGTGGGCGGGTGGGTGGGTGGGTGGGTGGCGTGAGTACAGCGGCGGTGGCGGCGTTTAAGTACGGCGGCGGCGACTTGGGTGGGTGGGTGGCGTGAGCAGAGCAGCGGTGGCGGCGCGGAGGTATGGCGGCGCCCAGCGGCAGGCTGCTGCACGGCCTTGGTGTTGCCAGCGCCAGGAGGGAGCCGCGGTGGCAGCGGCAGCAGCAGCAGGCAGCGCCACCACCACCAGCCGCCGCCACCACCACCACCACCAACAACAACAACAAAACAACACCACCACCCAGCAGCCGGGGCGGCCCCACCTCTGTGACGCTGCCTGCGGGGATGCCGCCGTACAGAGCCGCGTCCAGCGGCGCCAGCGAGGTGCGCAGGTGCAGCGGGGCGCCCGCCGCGCCGCGCAGCATCTCCAGCGCCTGCCGCCCAGCAGGCGAGCGGGAGCAGCAGGGGAGGACAGTCACACACACACACACTCTCTCTCTCTCTCCCTCTCTCTCTCTCTTTGGGTGGAGGCCATGGGGGCGGGGCTCAAGGCAGGGGGTTCGGAAGGGGCAGGGAGGTCGGGCCGGCGGCAACAACAAGGCCCGCTCACGAACCACAACCACCGCCCGCCGCCGTGAGCGACGCCTTGCACCCCCCAGCGCGCACCGTCTGTGGCGCAGGGGTGATGCGTGCCGCCACCTCGCGCAGTATCTGCCTCACGGCCTGGTAGGGCAGGTCCAGCAGCTCCACCAGGTCCAGCAGGGTGCGGCCAAACAGGTCGGCCGCACGCTGAACGTTGCGCTCCGCCAGCCGCGTCGCCAGCGGCGGCGGCAGGTCCATGCGCTGCAGCTGGCGGGTGGCCTGCGGGCGGCAGGGTAATGCAAGGGCCGGCGCTCGGGGGCGTTTGTGATGCACGGGAAGAAGGAGAGCGATTGCGCGAACTGATCGGCGACGCTCCCACACAGACGGTCCTCACCATTACAGCAATAACCTCGCGCTGGCAATGAATTCGTTATGGGCAGCAAGGCTGGGTCGCTCCCTTTCGCCCTGGCGGCGGCGCCAGCCGGGCGGGCCGCCAGCACAGCCGTGCCATGCGACACTGCTTCAATATTACCAGAGCGGATACGAGAAGCAGGCATGGGTGCAGGGCAGGAATGCATGCGTACGGCAAGGCTTGCCGCCGTCAGCCGCCCTCTGCCTGCAGCCGCTGCAGCGCCTCGGCGGCGGAGGGGCGGCGGAGCGGGTCTTGCGCCACACACTCCTCTATCAACTCCACCACCGCCTGCGGGCAGGCAGCAGGCAGGAGAGCATGCTCCGCGGTGGCGTTCAGCGCCGCTCCCACTGGGGCTCATGACCTGCGTGAAACTGCACTTACACACGCATCCCCGCTGCTGCTCCCGCGGGCACCGCTGCCTGCTCGCTGCCTGCTCGCGCTGTCCGCTCGCTCGCCGCCGAGGCTGGCCGGGCCTGCGCCGGCCCCCCTCCCCAAGCTGCCCACCTGAGAGCACTCTTCGGGCGCGCGCGGCAGGCGCCACTCGCCCCGCCTGGTCACCGCCTGCTGCGTGGTCAGCTCCACCAGCAAGATGCCCAAGCTGTAGACGTCGGCAGCAAGCGTGCAGCGCTGGCCCAGCACCTGCTCGGGGGCTGCGGCAGCAGGAGAGGCAGGGGTGGCGGCAGGGCCGTCAGCAGCAGGCCCACACAGCAGTCACATTAGCAGCAGCAGTGTGCCCAGCGTGCCCAGGCTGCCAGCAGGCGCCTGGCCCAGGCGGCGTGTGCGGCGACAGCAGCCGTGCCGGTGGCTGCCCGCGCACAGCAGCGCACCTGCGTGTGTGAGGCAGAAGGGGCCTACACTGGCCCCGCTGCCCGCCACCACCCGAGCGTTGCCCAGGTCTCCTATGGAGGCTCGCAGGCCGCCATCCAGCAGCACGTTGCTGCACACAGGCAGGAGCGGGTGTGACAGGTGCAAGGTGGGCGTGCACGGATGTGTGGCACGCTGGCGTGGCGAGGGCAGGGGGCAGGCAGAAGAGCGCGTGCGGCGACCAAGAGCGAGCGCCAGGCACATGCTGGCAGGGAGCAGGGCACAGCCACAGGCAGCCCAAGAGCCGCCACCAGCGGCGGCAGCAATGCCCCGCCCCTCGCCTGCTGCTCAGGTCGCTGTGGAGCACATTGAGGTGGGCCAGGAAGGCCAGGGCCGAGGCCACATCCAGCGCCACCTGCCGGCCCCTGCAGCAGGGAGGGAGGCGCCCACTCGGCGGCAGGCGAGACACCTGGGCGTCACCGGCCCGCAGACACAAGCTGCAGCAAGGGCTCTGCCAGCAAAGCAGTGGGCTCCCATCCGCTCGGCAAGCCTCCACGCCCTGCGGCTGGGATCTGCGCGCACCTGGCGCCCCACCGCAGCTGCTGCCGCGCGTCTGGGCGGCGCAGAGCGGCCTGCAGGCTGCCTCCTGCCATCAGCTCCATCGCCAGCAGCAGCAGCGGGCCCTGCAGGCGGCGGCGGCGGTGGCGGCGGCGGCAGCACAGCAGTGTGTGGGTGTGGGTGGGTGCAGGACAGGCGCGGAGCCTCACAGGAGCCAACTCCTCGCAGATGCTGGCCTCTGCAAAAACTAGCGCTAACGTGCAGCACGCCAGCCAACAACCAATCTGCGGCCCCAACCCAATCACCGCTGCCGCTGGCCAGCCCTCACCTGCAGGGCTACCCCCAGCAGCGGAACGATGCGCTCGTGCCTGCACCGCTGCATGAGAGCCACCTCCCGCCACACCGCCCCGGGGTCGGTGCCTGGCCTCAGCTCGAAGGCCTGAAGGGAGCAGACAAGTACAGGCACTGGGCGGCATGGAGGGGTCGCCGTCGCCAGCGAAACGATGGCGGCCGCGGTGGTGGTGAGGGCAGCGTGGGTGGCACGGGGAGGAGGTGGCGGTGGTGGGCGGGCAAGCAACAGCCACCAAGCACCGCACCCAGCCTCCCTCTGCCCCGAGCACCCCCGCTCGCCTTGACTGCCACGGGCCCCGTGCCCAGCAGGTTGGCTCGGTACACCACAGCCTGGCGCCCCTCTCCCAGCAGCAGCGGCTCGTTGCGTCCATCCACTGCAAACTGCGGGCGGTTAGGGGTGGGGGCAGGCAAGGGTGGGGTGGGGTATTGGGGTGTTGGTTGGGTGTAAGTTGGGCAAGCATGGGGTGGGTAGGGTGGGCAGGGTTGGGGTGGGTGGGGTGGGCACAAGAGGAGCGGCAGGTTGGCGGAGGGCGAATGCAGACAGCAGGCAGGGAGGGAGGCAGGAGCCGGGTTTGCGAAAAGGCAGGCAGGAAGCAGAAAGAGTTGCGTGTTTGAGGACAGCAACTGACAGCCAAAACGGAGGCTGCTGCGGCGGCGGCAGCATGTGCGTGCCTCCAGCTGCGTGTGCGGCAGGCGTAGGGACGCCGTGCTGAGGCCCCAGCGCCAGCCGGAGGCGTCCGGGGCGGCAGCAGCAGACGGCGGCGGGGCTTGCGGGGCCCCTTTGGTTGGCATCCAATGATGGCAGCGGTCGGCTGCCAGCAGCGAGGCAGCCTCCCCGGCGACAGGCTCCGCCTCCGCCTCTGCCTCCCAGGCAAAGCTGGAGGCACTATCAGACCCTGGGGCGTCGCGCCCGCTGTCCCCCAGGCTGCCCAGCCCGCCGCTGCGCCGGCTGTTGCTGCTGCTGCTGGCGGGGCGGCTGCTGGGGGGCCTGCCGCCGCTGGACGGCGGCCGGCTGTGCCCGGCAGAGTGGGCCACAGCCAGATGCTGACCCTCCAGGGGAAGCAGATCTAAGCTGATGCCTCCGTGCTGCTGCACCAGCACATCGGTAAGCAGCGCCCCCAGCCGGGCCCGCCTCGTCAGCCCCACAAGCTGCGCCGTCCTAGCTGGCACGCCGCCGCCGCCGCGGAGCCAGGTGGTCGCCTCTGCCGCCGCCGCTGCCGGCCCCGCCAGCCCGCCGGGGGCGTGCAGGGCCGGCAGCCCACCCTGCTGCTGCTGCTGCTGCCACCGCCGATGGCGCAGCAGCCAAGCGGCGGCCGCGGCGGCCGCGGCCGCCGCGGGCGCCAGCAGCGCAGCCAGGTGTGCGGCCGCCGGCCGGCGCTGGCCGGCGGCGGCGCCGGATGCGTTGAGGGGGAGGTGCGCAGGCTTCAGCCAGTCCAGCAAGGGGAAGGCAGCAGGGGCACAGGCTGGCAGCTGCCTGTTGACTCGAGTGTGCTCCAGCTTCCTGCAGGCGGCAGTACCGGCGGGCAGTACCGGCGGTCACCACCTGAGCGGCGCAGCAGCCCAGCCGGCGGCAGCCGCTGCTCGGCTGCCGTGCGGACGTTTTGTACTGCGCTGCTGCTGCTGCTGCTGGCGCCGCCGCCCCCTGCTGCTGTTGTCGACGTCCAAGCCGGAAGGTCAGCCAGGAGGGCATGCCCAGGTGCTGCTATGCGCAGCACATCCGAGACTGCCGGCAGCTCGGCAGCCCGGCAGCCCGGCAGCGCGGCGGCGAGGTGCGCTCACAGCTGGAACAGGCTGGCAGCAAAGGGAGCCCTGCACCAGCTGGAGGGGAAGGTGCCGTTGAGCAGCGGGCAGCCGTGCAGATCCCTGCAGGGCAGGGGGCGGCAGGCCAGGCGCGCAGCGGCCTTGCAGGGAGGAGAATGGGACGACGCGCATGCGGGAGGAGGGCGAGAGAGGGTCAGCCGGGTGCCCGCCCAGCTTCCCGCGCCTGGCCCAGCCGCCTCACACACCGCCTCCGCCACCTCCGCGAGCCGCAGCGCTTGCAGTACAACCGTGTACCGCAGCACGTGCAGTACAGCGTGTACCGCACTCACAAGACGCTCAGCTGAGGCCAGGGCAGGTTGGCGGGCAGGGTGCCTGTGAGCTGCGGGTTTTCGGCCATGTAACCTTTCTCCAGCTTGGGCATCGCGCCAGGTTGCAGCCAGCCGCGCGGGAAGGCGGGGCCGCTCAACCGGTTGTTCGACACGCTCAAATCGGCCAGCTGCTCGGCCAGGTGAGCGGCAAGGGGTGTGCAGCAGCATTGAAAAGTGTGGCGGGAGTTGGTTGGGTCAGGGTGATGTGGTGGCATGCGGCGAGGCGAGGCCGCAGAGCACCCCCACCCACCACATGCACCATCGTTTCACGCGGCCTGGTGCTGGGATGCACTGTGTTACAGTCACCCCGCTATGATAGGCCGCGTGAGCAGACCTTGGGCAGGGGGCACACGTGATCAAGGGGCATCAAGAGAGGGGGTGGACCATGGAGCACCCTCTCCATGGCTCCGACCACCCTCCCCCCAGCTGAGCGTCCCAGGGTCACCCCACCCTGGCCCCGCTCCCCGTCCTGCCGGACACGCAACCCCCACAACGTGGTGGGGGACGTGGGGATCCTTAGCAGCTTAGGCCTGCCAGGCCGACGGGTGCCGATGCTGGTGCGGGCTCCCGGCGGCAGGCAGCGCCGCCGCCGGGCACTCAAATGGCATGGGGCACATGGGCCCCCATGCCCGCACATCTCCCAGGCACATGAAAATACCAGAAGGCTGCACATGTAAGGGTGCATGCATTGCAGGCAGGAGTGCAAAGTGGCCTGCCGCGGCGGTCGGCTGTG